ACATTGTCACAGATGAACTTGAAATCAGCGAACAACTCAATACCTACTTTTCAACTATTGGCTCAGCTTTAGCAAACCAAATACCGAATAAATACAAAACTAATAGATACGACACAGGAAACATAGCTGTAATTAGTGATGCAACTGAACTAAACCATTTAAAACCGACAACTACTGATGAAATAATAAAAATAATAGATAAATTGGATCCCAATACTGGCTCTGGTATAGATGGTATAAGCACTAAAGCGATTAAATGTATCAAAAACTTAATATTAGAAGAACTAACGTTTTGCATCAATGAAAGTTTTGAAATTAGCACTTTCCCTAGTAGCCTAAAGATAGCCAAAGTTATTCCTATCTATAAATCCGGCAACAGGTTTGACCCTTGTAATTATCGTCCAATTTCGGTACTTCCAGTTATCTCTAAAATTTTCGAAAAAGTGATCTACATACGCCTGGAAACCTTCTTAAAATCAAAAGACTTTTTTTATAGAAGACAATATGGTTTTCGTCCACTTTCAAATACTCTTTCGGCCACTATTGGTTTAAGCGGTCGCCACGCCGCTTTCTACTACGCCGAGTGTTGTGGGTTCAAACCCCACATGGGACGACACTTTGTGTGATCCACAAATTGTTGTTCTGAGTCTGGGTGTTCTTTGTGTCCGTTTCATGTATGTTTGTAAAGTCCCCCGCGACACAGGATATATATTCCTAATGCGGGAGTTGTCTTTTTTAAAAGAAAGAAAAGAAAGAAAGAAAGAATCACCAAAATTAAGAATAAAATTGATCAAAAACAAATAGTGCTAGGCATCTTTATTGATCTTAAAAAGGCGTTTGATACAATAAGCCACGAGATATTATTGCAGAAACTCTTTAATCTAGGTATTAAAGACAAAGCGCTAAGAATATTAACATCTTACTTAAGCGGCCGTGAGCAAATAGTAAAAATCGGGCAACATCACAGCTCTCCTAAGTATCTTACTTATGGAGTTCCTCAAGGTTCAATCTTGGGACCACTTTTGTACTTAATTTATATCAATGACATATCCCAAATTGGACTTAAGGGCGATATTTCACTTTATGCAGATGATACATGCCTATTTTATTACGGCCATTCTGTCGATGCTATGAAACCCCTAATTCAGAATGATTTAAACATGTTAAATGATTGGTTCCAACATAATTTACTAACTATAAATACCAAAAAAAACAAACTATGTCATTTTTGCAGCCAAAAACAAAAAAATAATTGATAACATACCACTGATCATAAATAACGAACCAATCAAGAGAAAGACATATGAAAGATATCTTGGCCTCATTCTGGACACTCGCCTGAGCTGGAAACCCCAAATAGATAAAATTAAAAATAAACTTATTTCACTGACGGGTTGCCTATTCAGTATAACTAAATGTATTCCTCACAAAGTCCGATACCTTATTTATAACTCTCTAGTCAAACCACACATTGATTATTTAGTGGAAATATGGGGAACCGCGGGTAAAACTATATTAGATGACTTACAACGAAAACAAAATAAATTAATAAAGGTTCTTTTTAGATACAACTTTCGTACTCCCACTAAAAAAATATACGAGGACACCAAAATAATGACCATTAAGCAAACTTATATATACTACACGTGTATATTGGTACGTAAAATATTAAACAGAAATATTCATACTAGTTTATCTTTTACAACAAATAGTGCTCGGCAAAAAATGAAACTAAGAAACGCTACCCATCTTGTAACTCGACCACCCAGAACGAACTATGGAAAGAAGAACATTGAATTTGAAGGAGTAAAGATATACAATAAATTACCATTAAATATAAAAAATGCTACTACATTGACTACATTTAAAAAAACATTGAAGAAACACATAGCAGCTACTTATTAGTTAATACATTATTATTGTACTAAAACATTCACAATCAAATAAACTAATAAGGATAAAAACAATTCTATATGCACATAATATTCGTGTGTGTGCGTATGTGTGTGTGTGTAAGTGCATGCAGGGTATGTGCATGTATGTGTGTGTGTGAGTATGTATATGTATGTGTATATGTACGACTATGCATATGTGTATGTTTTTATATTTACAAATATAAATCTTAATAAATAAATCAAAAAAACTAAAAAAAAAATAAAAAAAAAAACAAAATCTCAAGTCTCAATCAAGTTTAAAAAAAAAAAAAAAAAAAAAAAAAAAAAATTCAGGAATAAAAATAGAAGAGTGTACTTACCACCTGGATGCCACATCTAGTTAATAATTTCAAGTTACATCTTTGGTTCAGTTGCTTGGATTCCCATTGTTTTCTGTGTTCGAGTGTTTTGCAAGTTCGTAATCTTACGCAAAATATATTTTACTACCCACTTTTATTTTATATTATATTCAAACGCTCAATGGATTTATTTTTTACTTTTATGTATGTTTTCTCAGTAAGTGAATTTTGTAAATTCTTTTGAGAAATAAAGATTCTTAAACCACAAGTCCGGCACTGATCAACCAGGCAAACAACAATTCGCTTCAGAATTCCCGCGTTTCTATGCCGATTCAGTAATGCTACCCGGGAAAAAATGATCAGGCCTGATCAGACCTGTTCATGCATGATCAGACCTGAAATTTGACCTGATCAGACCTGTTCATGCCTGATCAGACCTGTTCATGCCTGATCAGACCTGACGTTAGACATGATCAGGCCTGATCAGACATGATCAGGTCTGGGCCGTAAAATACGTTCAGATCTGATCAGGCCTGTTCATGCATGATCATGTCTGATCAGGCCTGAATGTATTTTACGGCCCAGGTCTGATCATGCCTGATCATGCATGAATAGACATGAGCAGGCCTGATCAGGCCTGATCAGACCTGTTCATGCTTGATCAGACCTGGACGTATTTAACACTGCAGGTCTGCTCAGGCATGATCATGCATGAACAGGCCTGACGTGTTAAATACGTTCAGGTCTGATCATGCATGAATAGACATGATCAGGTCTGATTAATAGTTAAATACTTAATTATTATTCCTATATCTTTATATGCCGGCTCGATCGAGCTGGACCAACTGGATCCAACTCGAGTTGAATCAGACCAGACATGTTGATTCGATATATATATACCTATACCTTTTGTTCCATTTCCTAACCAATGCATTTTTTTACTTTCGATTTATTTATATTTTAATAATTATTCTTTCAACTACAACGATAATTTAATATCTTCTAAATTCATGATATAGTCTTGAAATTTACAAAATTACTATTTTATTTTAATAAACATATATATTACATAATTAAAAATTAATAATAAATAACTGGTCATTGTAAATTTCTGTTATAGAAAAGACCTTTGTGTTCTTACCTTCAAGGTTCATATTTTGATTTTCTCTGCTCAAATAATTTTTTAAATTTTATAATTTAATTAAAACTTGTGTTTGAAATAATTAAATTTATTAGTGTGTTATTTGCAATGTTTACATAATATACATTTGTAGGTATACTGATCATATGTATATATCACACGCCACAAGTCATCAAGTAAATATATATGGGCACAGCTATGTGTGAGTGTCCTCATGTATAGCACACAACTTTATGTGTCACGTGACACACCGGTGTAATTCAGTTTCAACATGGACGCCGTCGCATAATAAGAGTATAAACTGTGTGCGTCTTCTACTAGCGTCTGTTTATGTGCAATTGTATGTGATTTATTAATTAATTAAAGTTTAAATATTTCACTCTACAAATTTATCTGTGTTGTTTGTGGAGGCATCAAACATGTTTTTAATTCAATGCTATCTATGATGACAATTGCGCCTATATCATCGATAATGATGACATACAGCATGACAACAAAAAACCTCACGAGCTGGTTAAAGATGATATTACTAAATTCAATATGAAGAAACGACAATATGAAGGAAAAGTGATCGACTGTTCAAGTAAGATATTTAATTATTTTTGTTTATCGACATAAAGGTTATTATTATTATTTTTAACATTTATAAAAACTTAAATTTGCTAACATTTGAAAACAATATTTTTTTTTAAGTAAATACATTACTCCTGGTGAAATATTCTTTAAATAAATTTCATATTTTTTTAATTACTTTGTGTGAAGTTTTCCAAAATATTTGTTAAATATTAGATTATTTCTGTCATATATGAATAATTCTCATTTGTAATAGTCCATTAAATTTGATGAATAACCATTTATTTTTTTACATACAATAATTAATATTTAATATCTATAGGTAATTCCGAATTTTTACAACAACGAAGGCAAGATTTCAATAAAACAATCAAACAAAAAAAGAAAGTAACAGCTGGTGTTAATCGTTCGAAACGAATATCGATGCCAAAGAGAAGCTGGAGTCCAGAAAATTCACCACCTCCGAAAAAACTAAAGATTTCAAAGAATGTAAGTTGACTTTATGATTAAAATAAAACTAAACCTAAATATTTTATTATTATATTTTATTTGATTATGATTCAGCGAACGTACGTATAATTTATGTGTATATATTGATGAAATTTCATTAATGAATACTGAGTTCATGTTCATTTATGTACCGTCATTCAGAAATATGATTAAAAATGATAACCTCCATGTTAAATGTATATCTATAAAGTACTCAAATTAGATGCTTTTAAATTAATTCAAATTGTTTTAAATCGATTTAAATTAGATTTCTTAATCAGGGTATTTAAGTGATAGTAAAAAAATAATGCTATTTTTAATAAATACTACCATTTATTTTTAAATAAATTAATTTTTTAGATGAAAAACATAGGAAATAATGTTTACTGCCGAAAAATAATTTATGATTCAGCGCTAGGAGCTTCTCATAAATCAACGCATATGGCAAGAAGGTTGTTAGAAGGAGTTTTTAACCACGACGCCATGATGGCATGCACATTGACAGGGCAGGCTCCAAGGACTAAAGATAAAAAATCAGCTGTTGTAAATCCATTAGATCAACAGGCGAAAGACGCGATCGTTGGTGAGTTTTTTTTCTTAATTACTAATCCTAATAGGTAACATTGTGTCAAATTGACTCTAACGTTTTTTTAAATCTCTGGTTTAAGAACTTCATTTGAAAGCCTCATTTAAAGCCGTAATCTATCAATAATTTGACTGCTCAATTTTACTTGCATGCCAGAGAATAATTTTACAATAATTAGCATTTAATTGTTTAATTTGGAGCGTAATTCTTTGGGTTTGAAATCAAATTGACCCCATGTGACCGTAAATATGGATTATTATCGAGGTGTGATGTGACTCATTATGAACGAACTTTGCAGAGTTTGCGATGCATACAGCCGTTGAGAGGAAGTGGCCGATTCAAAGTCGACAAATCATTTTAAAGGAAATGAGCCAAAAGATCACTGAATATAAACGCGACAACATGAAGAAGGAAAAAACTGAAACGAGTCCAAAAAGCTAAAAAATTCAATACAGTTTCACATTATACTTTTAATAATTTTAAGTTAATATTAACGTTAAGAAAGTCAACCAAAGAGTTACTTCCATATATCTAATAAAAAAATAAAAGGTTATAATTACCAATTAATCATATCCATAAATACTATAATATTTTGTTTCGGATTTAATAAATATTTTTCAGAAAATATTTAATATTCTATGGTTTGTTAAAACTTATAATATAATTATCGGATAATAAAATTTCATTACTTGAACCATATATTATGATTTTATTTCAAACCTGGAAAGGATAATTAGATTAATTAGTTCTGCATGATCTAATCATACAGATCTAATAATTTTTTCAGGCACTTTCATCAACAGAGATTTTTTCAGGAATGAGTCTCAGGCTTAAAATTAACAAAGCTACTCGACGGTGAATCAGATCTGATCAGGCATGAGTCATCAGCCCTGATCAGGCATGAACAGGCATGAGTCGTCAGGCCTGATCAGACCTGAAAAATGACCGGGCCTGATCAGACCTGATCCGGCCGGATCAGGCATGAGTCGTCAGGCCTGATCAGACCTGATCCGGCCGGATCAGGTCTGATCAGGCCCGGTCATTTTTCAGGTCTGATCAGGCCTGACGACTCATGCCTGTTCATGTCTGATCAGGGCTGATCATTTTTTCCCGGGTATGCATGCTTCGGTAAGTCTCGCTAATGGTCGCTTAGTTCGCGTAGCACCCACTTATCTAGAGATTTGACGCAAGAGCTTCAATGTTGCTTTGGCACTAACTTCAGAGCACGCAGCAAGCTCAACCGTAGATTGAGTTGGATCCGCTACAACTATCGCCTTCAGTGGGTCGCTGTCGACCATACTTACTGGCTGACCGCGAGGCTCGTTCTTCAACTCAAAATTTCCAGATCTAAACCAAAATAAAAAAATAATGGACCACGTTTTTCCAAGCACTGTTAGGCCCGCACACGTCGTTAATGTTTAGAAACTCGTATTCGAAAATTGTAGAATTTTAAGTTTATCCATGGCGGCCAAAAACTAAGAAAATTTCACAAAAACACAACACTATCTAAAATAAATTACTGAATTTTAAATTAAATAACATGGCTTTCGAATAAAATTTATTTGAATTTCGAATTGAGGGCCAATCCACAGATATATAAAAATGAAATCGCCGGTTTTAAAAAATCTTCGACTTCATTAGCCCTTTTTTATCCAAATAAAGCAGACTACAGAAGTATAAGAAGTAAAGAAAGCTTAATTTTTTTTATGTATAACATTTTTCCCTTTCGCTTTCCTGAATCTGTTAAAGAGATTTCGTGAAAAGGTATTCAGTGCAGGAGTTGTCTTTTTAAAAAAGAAATCATCTAATCTCTAGTGACTCTTTAATACTAACTTGCCTTCAGTCACGCAAATCATGATAATCCAACTATCAAATCTTTCTTTTAACCCCGACGCAAAAACAACAACAACTTTACATAACCCCGGGTTGTTTGTTGCAACGTGTGTCTTTCGGTGGCAATATACTTCTAAACGGATGGTAGGTTTAAATCTGTGAAAATCTGTCCAACCGTACAAAGATCATGAGCTCTTTTCTAATGACTGTTAGGTTTTCGAGTCGGAGCCACCTTAATTTAATATTTTTGTAAAATTAATTATAAAATAAATATATTTATAATTATTGCTATACAATTATGCCGGAAGAGACACACTTTGCCCAATTCCACTGGGTTGTGGCCCAAAATAATGGTTTCCTCAGTATGCAGTTTTCTATTCACATTATTAAGATTAAGATGGTGGTACTTTCATTTATTATTTTAAAACAAAATTCTACCGTTTCTTGTTATGTCCCTCATAAAGCGTGTTTTTACGTTATTTACTTTTTCGGTTTACAGGAGCAAGATGGACCCTTCATTTGGTCTTCGGAGATACAAGGCATTGTACTCAGCTGTTACTTCTGGGGATACTTTGTTTCACAAATACCTGGTACGATTTCAAATCTGTGTTTGACAGAAAGTTGTCTAAAACAGCTAGCTATTTTTTATTATTTACAACGAAAGAACAGGACTTGCAGAAAGAGGAAGCTTTCGGTGCTCAGCAGAATATACTGGAAGCATCGTTGCTTCCAGGCGAAAATGAACACGAAGGTTTCTTTTTCAGCTAACCAAGCTAAAGCATATCAAATTAAAGGTGATTAAAATAAAATTTTCACCTTTATTACCATTTCCCAGGTGGTCGTATCGCTGAATTATTCTCAGCAAAATGGGTGATGTTCTTTAGCATTGCAATCAACGTGGTGTGTACCCTGCTCACCCCTGTAATGACAGAGATGCATTATATCGGTCTCGTGTTCATGCGAGTGTTAGAAGGCATCGGAGGTGTGAGTATCTTTTGCTTAAGTATATCTACCTTCTTAACTTTTATTTTTTTTGTTATTTATGACGTGAGATAAGAAGTAATTATAGAAATGCCATAACAGAATCCTGTATATTTTATTATCCTACTAGCTTTTACTTGTTTTAACAAGCACACTTTCACATTTATAATTAGAGAAAAAATAGACTAAGTTACTCCATATATAGACAGCTACTCAAGGGCGTATTTACCCTAGGGCCAACCGGGCCATGGCCCGGGGCGCTATTGGTATAGCGCCCCGGGCCATGGCCCACTGCTTTTTGCTTTGGTTTTAGCGCAATTCAAAATATGTGTATATTTTATATTAAGTACACATATCCGTAATATGCATATCGTTATTATTACCAGATCTTTATATCCACCGTGTGATTGGCGGAAAGACTTCAATTGTTTTCTTTTTACACGCTTTATCTAATATCAATTTCTTTAATAAAAGTACTTTGTTGTGCATAGAAGTATAACTTAAAAATGATATTTCCTACTGTACCTATGTATGTTCCTGAAAACATTGACATGAACGTATATTACCGTAACAGTATTTACTGTCAAATATATCGTGTATGGGTCAGCAATTGGCCTGAAAATCGCCGATATTATTAATGTTGATTTTTGTTTGAATTTTAGTACTGCCAATTGAGAGGTACTTGCTCAGTTCTGTGAAACAGTTTGACCTAATAAATAAAAACCTAATAAAAGGGTTTTGACATTAATTTTCAGGTTATCGAAAATGTGTTAGTAAATACCACTGATTCAAACCTCTGCAACTAAATCTTTTTCAGAATTGCCTGAGCGCGCATTCGGTATCTTTTAATTTGGATTTTTCATTAGTAATAGTACTTGTTTTTATTACATTCAGGGTGTTACATTCCCGGCGATGCATGTTCTGCTATCTAAGTGGGCCCCACCAGCAGAGAGAAGTGTTATGTCGGCGTTGGTGTACGCAGGAACTTCACTTGGTACCGTCATATCCATATTAATGGCTGGAATTCTTACTGCTAATGCTGGTAATACCCTAGCAAATAACAATACTGATCTGTATTTTTCTTCTACGTTGAATGTCATTCTACTTTTTTTCTGTAGGTTGGGAAAGTGTCTTCTACGTAATGGGATTTTTATCAACAATTTGGTGCCTTCTGTGGGTGGTGTTGATTCAAGATTCACCTAAACAGCAACGCTTCATCAGCATCGAGGAGAGGAATATGATCATCGCATCATTGGGAGGGATGAACAAAGATCGCTTAAGCCGTAAGGTATTATCATCATTTAAATCTCTAAAATCCATTACTAAATGACGTAATAGTTTTATTAACTCACAAAGGACAATAGAACAACGTCTCCTCTCTGAAGGTCAATCTAGTCTATAGCCAAGTTAAAAGAAACTTATTTATTAAATCATTAAACTACATGAGATCAGGATTTACGTATTGTCGGATAAGGACGATTTGTGCTGTTCTATAAAAAACTTTAGTGTATTAAGAAGTATACCTAGCAGGCCTACATCCAAAAAGAATGACTTAAGTAAGTTAATGATTTAAGTAGGTAATGATAAAGTAAGCAAACAAGTAAGTTGTTTAAAGGAAAATGTAATGACTTATAAACACTATTTTGATTCACCGAATCATTTTCTTCTCGAAGCTGACTGTTCCCTGGCGCGCTGTGATAACTTCGAAAGCTTTTTTAGCTATTCTCGTCGCCCATGTGTGCTCTAACTGGGGTTGGTACATGCTTCTCATCGAGCTACCATTCTACATGAAACAAGTTCTCGACTTCAAGATGACTGAGGTCAGTGGAAATATTAATGTTTTATTTATGAAAAACTATGATTAATATTTATGACTCAAACAATATAGTAGGCGATATTTAAGTGGAACTTTTGCAGTAAATTTACTGAATTAATCAATCAGTCAACCATATTTTATTTATAATGTTATCAAAATATATTACAGAAACGCAATGATCTGCCATATTATACAAACATATATAAAATACTCAAACAAACTTAGTTTATAAACATAATTAACTTTAAAAAAGTATATAACCGAGTTCAACACTCCTACATCATAATATATTGCGTGTGTATTTTAATTCGTTACTTTTCACTTCACTTCGTGTTTATCAAGTCTGTAATTTATTTCTCTTTTTATTGTCTTGTGGGCGCCACATACAAAGAAACAGAAAAATACTACAGCGCCATCTAACGAAGACACATCGAACTACGGAGTAACTCCCGAATGAGAATTGCTAATCTTGTATCGCGATATGAAGAATTCTCTCGCCGATTAGCATATATACAACTTCCCAACATAATGTAAATAAGCAGGTTGCGCAGGTGTCAGGCACGTGCCCATAAAAACAAAGACAGAGGTCTTCAACAACTTCCTTTAATCCTCAAGATTACAGGTCGCTTTGAGATTATATTTATGAGGAAATACTTGCAGTTTAGCACCAATATTCAATATAATTAACAATGGCAGATAAATTCTATACGCACAGGAAGATGGCCGGCGAGCAAGAGAGCAAAGACAAAAAAAAAAGTTGACATAGATGAGACATCACAGATTACACACATGTAGAACATAATACCATCTCAACACATAAACTGTTGGGCAGCATACAGGCATGATCACCTTGCCTGGTCGGAGGATCCTCCCTTTGCGTTGGAGGGACATGACACTCATACCTTTACTGTCTTATTATCAAGTGTTTTTTATTAATATTACTAAGATTCTCAAAATTTGCCTAACATGTGTGTTTTGAGTTACTGTTTTAAATGTCGTAGTTGAAACAGCTTTTGGGTTTCAGAACACATTCGCCACTGCATTGCCTTTCCTGACTCTGTGGATCTTCAGCATCGGTTTAAGTAGAACGTTGGACTGGTTGCGTGGCAAGAATGCTATTACTACAACTACTGCTCGGAAGATCGGCACTTTATTCGGTATAAAAAATTCATAACTAATTTATTTGAATAACTAATTTACTTGAATACATACTATTGACTTAACCTGACCGCACAGATTGCTTATGGTTTAAGCGATCACCGCCGCTTCTTACTACGTCTGAGTGTTGTGGGTCCTATTGGGGATAGGACCCACAACACTCATGGGATGACACTGTGTGATCCACAAATTGTAGTTCTGAGTCTGGATGTTCTTTGTGTCCGTTTCATGTATGTTTGTAGTCACCTGCGACATAGGTTATAATCCTAATTTAAGCCTTTTTTTTTTAAAAAACTATTAATTCTATAGTTTCGATTTTTAATTTAGTTCGAGAATTTCAATATTCATATTTTCTTATCAATATTATCATTTTTATAACTTTTTATCATTTATACATGTTTAGATTGCAACGATCCGACTAAGTTTTTGACCCGAACGTACTAATATTTCAAAATGCCTTGTATAGGTATATATTGTATGAAGTTTGTGAAATACTGTATCCGAACAAATGTGTAATATAGTGCAATAAATATTCCGTAAAAGAACAAATAGTTAAAAATCCACCTTTGTTCACAGCATCAGTAGTACCAGCTGCATGTTTATTGGCGCTGTGTTTCATCGGCAACAACCGTGGTGCTGCGGTAGCTATCATGACTATCGGAGTCACATCTGTCGGTGGAATGTTCTGCGGGTTCCTTGCTAACCACATTGATATCGCGCCTAATTTTGCTGGTGAGTTATAGCCACAGGCTTTAGATGTACATTCCTCGTAGTTTAAGTGAGTGACGATCGTAGTTGACGATCTGTATGGCTAGAAGACCGATAATATTTAAAACCGCAGTATAAAATTCTGTGTTCCTTGTTTGTCTATAAAGGGGACATTGTGTTGTTTGCTTTTAATAAGCGAACCAACAGTATATTAAATTTTGTAAATGTAAAAAAAGAAAACTTTTCACCTACCTACTAAGATACTATGAATACCATTTTTTTTCAAATTAATTCATTTAAAACTGCAGAACAAAGATTAGGTTAACCGTGTTAATTCAAATTCTTCGGGGATTACAGTTTAGAATGACATACCGCTGTTATTCGAAACTCTAATCCCCGTCGTCCTTACCAAAGTCCGCATGTTAAAAAATGGATAAGTCATTGTGAGATAAGTTGTCAAGTCAATGACACATAGCTCGAATCTTAGTCATTTCATTCGCTACATCGTTGGCCCTTTAGAGCTTTATTCCATTTAGGGTAACTATGGTTAGTACGCATATCTCATTTTAAACGCTGGTAGCACTAGTAAACTGATGTCATGGTCATCGAGGGCTTGTAATATTGCCATACTTTAATTAAATTTGTTAAATAGTACGTACATATAATGGGGAAAACACAAATTTTCATAATTAAAACCTAGTGAGGCAGCAACACCAACGTGTGCCAGGACAACAAACTAAACTAACTAGACTCGTAGTCGTATTACATGCTCATAGTATGTGCCCGATTAATATAACCATGTTTGCCGCAGGTACACTGGTGGCTGTCACAAACACCGTGGCCACAATTCCAGGAATAGTTGTGCCGATCTTCGTAGGGGCGCTAACCCGTGACAATGTAAGTAAAACATTATTACCTGGAATTCCTTGTAAATTATTCTTGGACGTGATAATCTTTCAAAGACTAGAGTAAGTACTTACCAAGATTAAATAATCTTGTTCTGGTAAAAGAAGAAGGCTACTGCGCAAAGCTAATGAGACATGGCTACATCGGTAAAATGTCAGTAGACTGTCTCGTAAACAAAAAACTATTAAACAATTTAGCAACCGTCGATATAGTGGCAGCAATTTTACGTTGTGTCAAGATGCGATTGAACAAATGTATCATTTTTAAATTTTAGAATTATCCTAACTTTTTGCACCGGGCACTGGTTAGTTTGGTTTTACATCAGTTTATATTTCGGTCCCTTATCCGGTTATATTAGATATATTGAAAGTTCTCAAAAAGAAAACATGCCAATTAATTCGTCAGTGTACCTGATCCTGAGAGTTGGTCACAAATCTCTTAAATACACCTTCCTCTTCTAGGTTGGGGTCAGCTTTAGGTCTACTACGGTTGAACCTTGATTTTTTACGTGGAGTAACTAAAATAAGACCTTTACAACCCAAGTACTAGGCGATGTCAACGTTCTGTAAAAAGACTATTCTCGGACTTTAGGGCTCCAACTACCTGTAACGATTGCCACAGATGCTCATTTGGAAACCGGGACCGACGGTTTAACGTGCTCTCTGAGGCGCGGCAGGGTTTCAAAGTGGTCACCCATCCATAGACTGACCTGGCTAGGATTGCTTAACTTTGCAATATTACTATCTACTCGGCTACCATTTAGCCACGAGCCCCTCTCTCTCTTCAATACATCTATTTACCTAAATAGTTACTATACTATTTGAGTCATATTTTTTGGTTTTGACTTTCAGAAAACAATACATTCGTGGCGCATAATATTCTACGTTACAATCGGGCTGTACGTGATCGAGATTCTTACCTATTTAGGGCTTGGATCGGGTGAGGAACAGACCTGGAACAAAGTGACTCAAGAGAAACATGATGATCAAGAAAACCAGCTTAAAGATGTTAAAAAGTCTCATGTATAAACTTTCTTTCAAATATTAAATAGTCTACTGTCCTGATCTAAAGCGAAAGAAGTGGTAGCACTAAGTGGCAAAGGGCGCCAAAAGCCAAACCCCAAAAAAAGAGTGTTTTTTTTGTAATGATTATTGTATTTACACAGATTTTCTCTGCTAATTTAGTGACTGATGGGAATCAACACCATATACTGGTTAAATAGTATTTAAAAATTTAAAAAGCTGCAGTATAATATAATATTAAAACTAATTACTTCATTTAATTGATATTTTAAATTTTATTATTATCAGTATTTTTGTTGTATATACAACAAAAAATAATTTAAGTTAAATTGCTAATTGCTTTCTTAATAATTCGTTTTAATATTAATATGATTGTTTAACGACAAAAGTAAAAAGTCCATAGGATAGTGTAGGTTTAAGACAATCTCGCTACACCTTTTTTAAAAGGCTAGGGCTGGACGTTACTAAATAATAGACGTAATAAAATAGCTGATTTCTTTTATCAAAAAATGATAAAATTAGAGTAATTGCCTTTTAATATTATTAACTAAGTAGATACATCCGTGAGGTGTGATCAAATAAACTGAACATGGTTTTGGTTTAATAATATTGTTTATTTGTAAGAAAGACTGTGTTATTTGTAAATAAAGAAATTAAACCTATTCGGTTATTTTACGACATCAAATAAAATGATTGCTTATATAGATGATATTATGGTGACGTGAAATATCTTAGGTGGCTATGAATGTTTGTCTGGAAAACCAGAAATGTATTGTATTTTTTATAATTGTAAATAATATTAATTAATTAAAACTTATTAATATCCTTATAATATTATGAGACTTCTAATGATACTATTTTACTTCACATTACTTTTAGTAAAAAAAACTAAAACTAACTAACTTACTTCTTTAACTGATAAATAATCAGTCTTCAACTGTCTTTTAAAATCCATGCATTTTTATTAGATATTATGTCCTAAACTTTTAGAAGATCACACGTCTTTAAATTTTATTTTCTGCACCGATTGTTCACTTGTTTGAGATATTAAGTATTTTATTATTATTATAGGTATACCTTAGTCTCATGACTTATTAATTCTGTATTCACTTTCGATTTCCCACCTCTAAAAAAAACTGACATTTAAATAACTTGTGGATTATTTCGTCTATAAATTAAATACATGACATTAGCGAAATTGTTTTTTATATTAAACCACAAAAATTGATGTTGATTTTCCACTTGTACAGTTTCACTTCCACTTTCCAATTGTTTTCTTTTTACGTGTGGAAACCCCCACCCGAGTTGAGGGTAGTTTAATTCATATATTGTGTTGACAGTCATTTTAAATTATATATGATCAAACCGGCTTAAACTACACGGTGTTTCGTCACATGACAAGTCAATCTGCTGCAAGGCACCCAGGATACCCAAAACAAGGAAGCCGAGAACCTTTTTCAGCTTGGGGTGTAACAGACTTTAGGATAAAGCCTATTTATTACTGTAGTAATATTTATTTCCGTTAGGTACAAGTCAGCTGTTTCGCACTAATTTGTAACTTAGTTAAAAATAACAGACTGTCGGTGCTAATAAACGCATGATGGAAACAACTATTGTTATTTTTGCTAGGTCTCTACTAAAGGGAAAACAGAATCCAGAAAACGCGCGTACATTGGTCAAAACAAATAGCATGTGATTCCCTGGCTTCCTATTACACAGTGTGCAGTGGCGGATTTGCAGTCTTGGCCGCCCTAGGCCCCAGGCCATGTATTAAGTACCGGCCGCTCCTTTTGCAGCACCCATCATATAGACTACATAATGATTTTACTTTATTGCTACGTTTGATCGAAACCAGTTGCAGGTTTGCAGGTTGCATTAAATGTTGTCATAAGATTGCCCTCGGCAGTTTGAAATGTCAATTCCCAATTCAGTTAAAAGTTGAGGTAACAGGTTTGTGGTCTGTGTTTGGAATGAACTTAAGGAAACGCTTTACAGGTGATTCATTAGGCAGGACATCTGAAACATCGACATAAATTGTTAATATTTCCATTACAATTATCTTTAAACAGTTGTTTCCTTTAAGCCGAATGAGTTCTTCGCATATATCCTAGGCCTGGATTAACAAAATCAAACATATCACATCAGGTTAGCCAAACACACCCACTCGAAACCTACAGAGCGGATGACCCTCGTGCTACACTAACAAGTCATCTCTCAGACGAGCTTTCTGACATCTCAGATTACGTGAGCTCGGACAACTGAGTAACAACAAAGCTCCGGCTGAAGACGGAATTACAACAAAGCTGCTAAAAGCCGGACGAAATCTTCTATTGGCCTTACGATAGAAATTGTGCCGGCCGAGTTATTTGGCCAAGGTATTCTTGCACAACCTCAATAGTAGCGCCATTTAAGGTCACGAAAGTCAGGGATACATGCCTATCGTGCATGATTTTTATCAGTTCAGTGTTCGTCCCAAGTCCCACTCGTCTTGAAGAATCGTTCAGGCTGAAGCATTTCTTCCAGATGATGCAGAGATTCCGCCAGGATGACTATGTCATCAATACGATTCGTAATGCCCTAGAAAACAACTTTTACACAGCTCAAGAGTGTATTGGGCAGTAGTTCTTCAGTAGGCCCTTGTCTTCTTTTTAAAGAATAATATTACGACGCTCCTGCTACATGCCTGCAGTGTAATGCCAGTATTAATGACGAAATTAAATAGCTTTGAGAGCTCTACTAATATAGGAGTTTATTTATAACATCTAATACTTTCGAGACAACTCTTTCTCGTCTTAAGTAGCCTCTTTTAAGTTCATTACAAACAAAGCGAGCTATACCTATTCCCAAACTCGCCACCTGCACTATGTTTTACAAATATCTTTAGCCGCGCCGTAGGTTACGAAAGGAATACCTAAACACGCCAAAAAGTATAGAAATATTTTTCTACAATTTAAACCAAATTGGTGTTTTGTTTGTATTTTTTAATATAAAATGGCTCGTAGGCCTTACCGCGACTCTCAGATAATAAAACAAGATTTAGAGAGTGAATAAGTGCTCAGTGATGTAGGGCTCCAATTTTCCGACCATCTTTCTGAAGTAGAAAGAATTGAAAAAATTCAACCGACAGAAGAAGCAAACATGTCGAGTTCTGACGAAGAAGATGGGCCCTATCACAGATCAGCCACGGATCTACGGGGCAGAAACTCAATAATAGCGTCCCCTCTTTCCAGCGTTTGAGGCAAGTAACTTAAAAAAACAATTGTTCCAAGCAATTTAAACCATAATTTTATTTTATTAATAATATTAGTTTCCACGCTTACTTATGTGTGAAATGTGATTCCATCCTGCTGTCAGTTTGATTTTTAATCACGTTTAGACTGACAAGGTGTAGTTTCGTTGTACGTGTTTGCGTGTAATTGTGTATGTATGTTACAAGCCAACGCTTAGTTTTTGGCCTCACTTCTTTGTTTGCAGAGTACCATCCTAACTTTTTTATTTGATCTGTGGGTCAGATGTAGATTCAAAATATCAGATGCAAAGCTACATTTTAACGAGAAACGAAACGCAATCATTTTGACATAAGACAATGACAGTAGTAAATGACACATGTCATTTCGGGAAAATAAAAGAAATTTTTAAATCTTCACAAGGTTCTCGGAAAATGAGAATATTGAAGTATTCTGGCATGGTTTCTTTATCTAGTACTTACTGCAACATGTGTTATTTAACTAAAACATAACTAAAGTTAGCACGTACGTTATCTAGGCTTGGAAACAATTAAAAATTCTCGTCGAATTCTCGTCGAATATAAATACAAGCTACGTTTGCTTATCAACAGCTGATTACTAAACATTAGCAGGATACAAATTCAAGTTTGGACCAGTGAAATTCTAGCACGCTCATTGCGTGGAGTGTTACGCTCGATGCCTCATATGCTGACTTGGCTCCGTGAAATGAAAAAATTGCTAATAAGTAATGGTGAAAGTAGCGACTGATGTCGTGTATAGAATTATCAAGTAATGTGTTCAATCCGCGTCTACTTTGAATAGTTCGATATTCGAAAGCGTGCTATGGTGTGAACTTATTTTATTTAAAAACGATTAAATGCATATGTAAAGGTCCAGTTGTTAAAGTTAATTTCAGAACTGTGTTTGAGATAAAAAAAATTGTATTTTGTGGTAAAAATGGCTTTGAAATTAGAACAAGAGAATGATTTGGAATTTATATTGAAAAGTTTATTGGCTGGAGGTAAGTGTTATAAACTTTACAGATTAAATGAAATTATAACTGCACCTGGCTAAATTACCTACAAGTTAAAAAAAAATAAGTTTTAAAAAAGTAAATTTATTTAACTTTTGTGTTTGTAATTATTTTCTGGACGCAGAGATTATAGGCTATTAAATACATTTCGGTAAAAAAATTATTTAAAATGTAATAAACTTTAAAGTGGGTAAACAAAACCTATATTATCTTAGTTGTTTATGACATTGTTTATATTTAAGTGTTTTTATTTATCACTTGTTTAAATTACTATCTTGACATGTAGATGGTCAAAACTTTTTTGATTTCATTGTATCAAATCCATATATATAAATGTTGAGTTGATTTCTTTATGCTTTAAAAACTCGAAAATTCTGCTCTGATTGAGCTAAAATTTTGACAAAACACATTTTCTAAGGGGAGTCATACAACATGGTATTAACCCACTTCAAAGATAGACTTTCATGTCAGTTTTGTTCCTGTTTACTCATTAATGAGACCACAAAGTGACACAGCAAAGCATGTCCATGAATGTCCATCTCATAAACACATTCATTCCTATTATAATTTTTTAGTTTGTAGTAGTAGTACCTGGAAGTTCTCTTCTTTATAATTTAAAAAAAAGTTGTGACTTGAAAACTGAAGAGTTCTAAAATTGTTACATTATATTTTAAAATAATTAAAAAAGTTTAAAATCTTAGATAAAAAAGTCCAAATACATCCAGATAGATAAGCCTCACGGAAATTATGAGTTTTAGCTATAACAAAACTATTTATTTCAAATTTAATAGAGAAATTATACATTGATTATTTTTAAATCAACAGATATTTTTTGTTTCTCTATAAACTCATGTTTAGAAACATGTTAAGTGTAATTTCTTAAAACAACAACTAATATCTATTCTATGTTTTCACAAAATTTGTAAGATAAGGTAAGATCTAAAGTAGTAAAAATTGTGTAAAAGTATGAAAATAGTAATAAAACATAATTTCTTGTCTTTAATACCCTTACCTTTAATAACCTTACCTTGTACCTGGTTTATTTTACTATTTAAGACTTGAGCAAATTTAAAAGATTATCATAGGATTAGTAATGAATGTCTTTTTAGCTACCGCAATGGGAACCTGTCATTTAAGTACCCTCTACAATATATGGTATATCTCTGACAATTCAAAACCTATTCATTGTAGTATGAATAACTTTCAACATGTGCTTTAATGACTAGTTTAATATTAGGTTTAAGGAAATCACCAGGGATTTCCTTTCTAGGGTATACCTGGTTCCCCGGCTATTAGTACCCGAGACGGCGTGCGGTAGTATCTGAGGGGATTTCCGCACGGAAAAAAAATAAAGGTTTAAGGAAATTACATGTTTAGATAGAAGGAAGGGAGGATATGAGGAAAAATTGCTGCCTACTCTTTATTTAAACTCAATGTGTTAATAATACCCACATACTTATTTGTGAGTGACACCACATCACTGACTCAAGTATATAATCATCCTAATAAGATATGTCGTTCGGCCTTTAGGTAGCCTACAAAGGTACTTATGATTTAAATAAATTTGAAGAGGCAGGCCACTTCATTGGTAAACATGCCTTTATAGTCCCAACCATACTCCTTGACAATACCGTTTAACCAAATACGATTCTGGACCAGGCAACGGACTCGTGAAGCACACAACCGGAGGTGGTAAGATGCAGACAGTTCAAACTGGTGCTGACTCAAGTCACACCACGACTCACCTGCAGATTGATTAGTCTTAGCAGACTGGAAATCCGAATAGTTGTATAGTTGTCGGTACTATAACAGGACACCTAGCCCTGAACCGACACCTATTCATCATCAATGCGACGTACATCCCTCTGTGCAGGGGATGTCTGGAAGCAGAAGAAACGGCCGCCCACGTAGTCCTGGAATGCGAGGGAGTGGCCACACAACGGGCATTCCTGATACAAAATCGCTCCTAGAAGCCTGTGAACGCCCTAGGCGGCTTGTGCGGTTCTGGAAGGAGCTTGGTTGGTTCACCTAGCTTACCAGTCCTCGACGCATAAAGGACCACTCTTGAGTCTAAATGCGGAAACCGAAGCCCACAGCCAATACCAATACCAAAGGTTTATTAGAGTGATAACAAACTTTTGCCTCTTGGTTTACTGTGGTCAAATTTTACTTTACTTTTACATGCCGTTATAGTAAGATTAGTGCTGTTCCAAATAATAAATAATGTGATCTTCCAAATAATAAGTCAGGTCTTTGAGATTACTGGCATGTTGAATCATCAAGTCACGGTCTAAAAAGTGCACTGTAAAGGAACCCGTTAAGTCCCTTCTAAAAGCGGATCAAATAGAGCCTCAATTCGGTTACACTTAGCCGATTCCCAAATAGGTATATCTAGACTTCTTTCATCTTGTTTACCGCAAATAGAAAACCAGATCTGTCGGAAACTCTCTTCGGCAGCTTAAGTATTAATTAAGTCACGAGACCATATTTTTGGCACCCAAATCTAAACTCCAAGAAACTTCATTGAAACTTTTTTCTTGGCATAAAAATCATCTTTAACCGAACCTATATCATAAGCATCAGCGGTATACGTTTGCAATAAATACCACTAGAGAGACTACTGAACTCGAAAACGTAAAACAATAAACGTTTGTTAACTACAGAATAAAACATTTCATACGCTGTACCGCCTCAGAAAATATCAAAAATCGTACCACACAAATTTAGATTCGTCTTTTCTTTTCTGACAATTTCCCTTTTTTTCATAGGTGTAGCGGGCATGTGCGCAAAAACAACAGTTGCTCCACTGGACCGAATGAAGATTCTGTTACAAGCTCAGTCTGCGCATTACAAACATCACGGTATTGTAGGCGGCTTGGCGGCCATAGTCAAGAAGGAATCTCTCATAGCTTTATACAAGGGCAATGGTGCCCAAATGGTCAGGATATTCCCCTATGCGGCTACACAATTTACCAGCTTTGAAATTTATAAAAAGGTAAGTTTTAATTGTAATTCTAATCTGGTTTTTTATTTGTGTTCTCAAAATAAGATCGCCGATTAGGACGACATGGGGTAAGCGGTACCTTTTAAGATGATAAGTACGAAGTCGTGTCGCTTGTATTGAATTGTTCCAGTATGGATAAACCTAAAATATATGATTTATTTACCAATATATATGCCCGGTTTGAGGACATGGGCTTGCCCCCTATTGCGTAAGAGGGGCTAAAATTATATGAGAGAAAATGTGAACGTTTTAACCTCTGTCTAATTCTTCGCGGATAAAGACGTGCATGTATGTATGTATTTATCTGCTCTTCTTACTATGGACGGTCCAACACACCATAATAGATACGTACCTTGTCGGTCAGCTCACCTATATTTTGGTACGTTGTACTCGAAGTTAAACCAAGAGATTTACTGTATAAATATTTCGCAGGTGCTACTGTAAATAAGTTTATAAAGAAGAGATAAATGGATCTCTAGAACTGTTAGTATTATCAGCGGTAAATATAACTACTATCAAATTAAATTTGCTATATCAAAATTGATAGATACTGTATAACTTGGCTCGACTTGGACCAATTTTCTTCAACCTCATGCCGATTTTATTTTAGTTGAGTGTGTTTGGGTTGCGGTTTAAATAGCGATTAAATACCACCCCGCCGCATATATTATAGGTATCATCATCCTCATCACACAACAGCTTTTAATAGTCCACTGCTAGACATAGGCCTCTCCTTAGAAACGAGTTGCGTAGTTTGCTCCCTTAGCCAACTCTTCCCACGGGATGAATAGGGGTTGGTGAAACTCTGTAGTCTTAATCCGTCACCACACGGATGAACGGATTTTAGGTATAAGTATAGGTATAATTAATATCTCACTAAAATAGATAATTCCGTTGGCAGGAACTCCGTTGTTTCATGTCTGAACGGTATCTACTTCCCATTACCATTGTCTCACGCGAAGGTTGACAGACAGTAAATATCTATGTTCTTAAATTTCGAATCGTTTAGAAATGACTGAAAATATTGATAGCATACACGTTTCACGTCAAAGATGTGATCATGACCTTGATGCGGCCAATGATTTCCGCGCACACAACAAACGCCAAGTCGCATACCAATGCAATTGGAACTGTGAGAATAGATTACAGCGTTGTATTGTATTGCTATCTATTGGGTCCCATAGTGAAGTAATTACTATGCTGCGTCACATAAAAAAATCATGTAATAAACACGAGCTATTTCGGATAGATATCATATATAAGGATCTCGTCTTCGTCGTCGTCAGAGCTTTAGTGTATTTCTAACTTGTCTGAAATGGATAAGAGCAACTTTCATTCCTTCTTAATTTTGTTAAACTAGACAGACGAAAGAATCTTGACCAGGGACAGTGTTATAATTAGGTTCACTACTTATGTTAGTTTGGGATTCTTAGAAATTTGTTTTAGTTGCTGCTATTGATTTAATCTTTAGAAATATTCCTATAAACTAATAAGGTGCGTGATTCAAGATCGATGACTGTATATATGATAATGAATATTTTTTTAAATTTGGTAATATAACAGGCCTATGTCGCAATATACACGATTAGCGATTACAGTATCTTACAGTGTTTTCTTGTAAGTCAGCTAAATTTAACTGTTTAATGAACAGTTATCGCAATTTTTCTTTATCTGATAAGTTAGGAATCGCAGATATTTTTGTTTATCCTTTGTGTTGCTTTTACATTAGGCAAAAAAAAAACTTGCTGTAATTTTGATATAGGAATATTCTCTCGGAACGTGACTTGACCTTCCTAAATTTGGACTTCAGACTTACGATTATTGAATGGTTTCTCATTTAAATTTTAACACGTCTACCAGGTCAGTAAATTTTAGTCAAAGTTTAAGCCGGTTATACGTCACTAAGTTATCTAGGTTGGTACTCGGAGCGTTGGAATTTTTGTTGCGTCTTATTGGCCCTAACCCGTGAACGCCACAGGTATTGGGATAAGCTTTTTTACAGAAAGGTAATATCCGCAGAAATGTATCCCCTTCACACCAATAACTTTCCTATCCATAACCTATGTGCCTTGTTTAGAAGCGATAGCTATTCTCTTGAATAGTTATTCGACTTGTATATTAGCGAAATGGTCTTAGACCTAAATAAGTTTGTTTGAAGCAATAAGGAGTAAGGACCTAGCGGTGGTGAAGATCCTTACTCCTCAATAAATAAAAAGGTATAATATTATGCCGCCAATTTGTCTTGTGAGTTGACTGTTGTAGCTTAATCCAAAAAGTTATCTTGTCTGTCCAAGTACTTTGTTTGAAACCTTTTCATTTGATGCTTGCCTCGTATTGGTAATAACGTGATTTTGTAAATCATATAGCCTTTTTCGATTAATGAGCTGTCCAACACTAAAAGATTTTTTCAATTCGAACCAGTAGTTAATAAGGTTAGCGCGTTCAACCAAACATACAAACTTTTTTAGCTTTAAAATATAAGTGTAGATACGGAAGTAAAACACGATCTTCCAGTTTTCACATTATGTAAGTATTTAAGCAGTACCATAGTCATTACAATTTATCGTGCCAACTCTACCGACTTTATTTAGATAGCTATAAATATATCGCTCTATTTCCGGTGCATACACAAACTTGGTCTCAAGATCAAGGGCAGTCTGATGAACTTTAATCCCTGAAGTAATAAAATTAAGACATGACATGTTTTGTTGTGTTGTCCAAACCTATGTTCACATAAAAATATGTGTATATCTATCTACATACATTGCAAAACTATCTGACTTATAGACCCTGAAAAAACTCGATATAGAATTAAGAATCTATTCAATTTTCTTTTGACTGCACGATTGGCGTAGTGGTTTAAGCCGTTTTGAATTGGTACAGGAGCATTAGGATATTATCTATTACATTGAACAGGTGTATTTTTTTTTCAGTGTGCTCCATGATGACTGCGTTGTTACTTAGTAACTTTTTTAAAATATGCAGTACTAGTAGGAGAATAGGGTGTTTTATCTCTTGTTTGTATGATTGTATCCTCTTGTATCGGGAATCTGACGCCCATTAAAACAATATAACTATGCTTCCAGGCCAATTTACAGAAAATTTATTGAATATAATAATATTTATAGATCGCGCTAAGCATTTACCATTAGCATTACCAGTTATGAAATAAGCTTTGTCTTGCATAGTAAAAAAAACAATTTACAGTTGTGGAATAGCGGACTCTGCGGCAGATCACGTAGTTTAGAGAAATTATAAGAACACAAAAACAGCATGCATTATCTTGCTTATAATGTTAGCATTATACCTTTGTTTAATGCCTCTATTAAGTTCGTTATCTATAATTACGCTGTAATAAAATAATCATCCGTATTTATGATCATCATATCCATTTTAATGTTTTGCATCAATACCATTAAATATATTAATACGTAATTTAAATTCTTTGCACCGTTTTTTAATGAATATGGCGCACGGAATCTATACATCTATACTACAAATAAATAAAATTGGAGTGTCTGTTTGTAATATTAAAATAACCGCTTTTTACTAAATGCATATGTATGTTTACACGGTACATATGCCAAAATAACATTTTTTACAATTTTTGTCTGTCTGTCTGTTTGTTAAGGGTAATCTTTGGAACGGTTGGACCGATTTCGACGGGACTTTCACTGGCAGATAGCTGATGACATAAGGAGTAACTTAGGCTACTTTTTTTAAGCTAGCTTCGCCCCGCGGCGCTGCCCGCGGTTATAACAACAAACGCGGGTAACACCGCGGGTCTTAGCTAGTCATATCATATTTTGAATACTGAATGTCTATGTAGAAGTTCAGAAAGCTCCAAGTTTTTAAACAATATATGATATAAAGTTAAAAATTATGTATAAACGACTACATAACACTATGGTTGTTGTACAAAAGTCTATACAATGACAGTTCACGTTAAAACGGTTAAAATCCGAAAGCCATGAATCAAGCGGCCTCCAGCCATACAAAATTCTTGCCTCTCAAACTAGCATCTTATTATGAAGTAGGGAAATGTCACTTTCATTTAAACCGGTGTTCAGTCCCGACCGTTAACTACACGCTGTGGAGCGCACGTTTATGACGACAGATTTTGAAACTGACCATTATGTAGGCTCTGACCTTGAATATTTTGCGCATGTTGTGTTGTCTCAGAGGAATGTTTACAAACAAAAGTAGAATTCCCCACCCCATACTATATTGCGTCACAGGTACATTAACACAATGTTTTATTTGTGTGTATAATCTAGTGATTATAAACTCATCAAAAATATCACATCACATCATCACATCAACAGCCTTTAATAGTCCACTGCTGGACATAGGCCTCTCCTTAGAAAGGAGGGTTTGGCCTACTATACCACGCTGGCCAGACGGGTTGGTATAGGGTTTGTGTCAAGTTTTCCTTCTGTTTGTAGTGCTGTTGTCCTGCGTAGTTTGTGCCCTTAGTCGGCTCCTACGACACCCACGGGATGAATAGGGGTGGCGACATTGCACCAGGGACTTCCTTTCTAGGGTATACCTGGTTCCCCGGCTATTAGTCCCCGAGACGGCGTGCGGTTTTAGTCGATTCGAGTCCGACATGCCACCGATAGGTGGTATCCGAGGGGATTTCCACATCGAAAAAAAAAAAAAAAAGGGGGTGGCGACATTCCGTATTCTCAATCCGTCACCACACGGATCTCAAAAATATCAAAAAAGGATAATTAATTATTAACAATCACCTACTTCCGCAAAAAAAGGAGAACCGTCAAACATAAGTTGATTTCCTATAACGTTTTTGTTCCGTTACACTTGCTAGTTATTTACGTATGACCTTGAATATTTTGCTCATGATGTGTCTTCTCAGACAAATGTTTACAAACAAAAGGAGAATGCCCCTACCATATTGCGTCACAAGTACATTAACACCATGTTTTATGTGTGTGTAAAATCTACTGATTTTAAACGCATCAAAAATATCAAAAAAGGGCTAAAATCACCAATATAAAGATCACGTTCGATACGACAGAAAAACCTAAATATTCAATAGCTAAAGCATAAGCATAATTAATACTCATTGAATGTTACCCACATTTATATTATTAATTCATTTCACAATAATATGTAAATTATATTTTTAAATATTGCTTAAAAGACGCCGCCTTTCACCTAGTTTCGTGCTTTCTTTGCTAAATATTATTAAATGATTCGGAGCTTAACAGGTTCAAAGTTGAAAAATTAGGTAGATTATAGCACGTCCTGGAGAAAGTACAGAAAATCTCGTTTAAAGCACCACTAGTTCCTATTCTACCGTTGAAACCTACCATATTTGAGTGTGTGAAACTGCAGACAAGAAAGATGATTAGTTAAACAGGTTATTATTAATCAAGTTTGAAAGAATTTTATACTATCTAAATGTAAAAATGTTAAATAATTGGTTTCTGTACGCTTCAAAAACTCAAAAAGTTATTCACCGTTTGAGCTCAAATTTTGACACGATACGTACAACCCGCTTCAAAAAAAATTTTAACTATTTTTTGCGTCAGTTTTGTTTCTCATTTCTCATGAATGCAACCCTATTGTGCCACAGCGATGCGTGGCAGGGTACAGCTAGTTATATTATAAAAAATCAACAGTAATTGTTTTTTTTTTAAGTGTATTATCAGAATCCAAAATTTTAATTAAAATACCATTTCCGTACCTTTGACATTTCCCGCAAAATTAATTACTAAATTCACGGTACATTTTCATATGGCTTCAATGCGTCATTGCTTCGCTATCGTCTTACCGATTTTAAATACTGACGTCAGTAAACTACCATGGTTGTTACTGACGCAAGTTCATTCACGAATGAACTGATTTCAATTTACTAAGTTGGTGAATTTGTTAAACCGCACAGCAACTAAGTAGGTGTTTACACAGCATTACATTATTTGGGAATCAGTAGTCCTAATAACTCAGTCATCCGTCTCCGAAGTAGTATCCTTTCGATTCAAAAAAAAGTCCTCACAATAAAATTACTAAGATGGAGTTACTTATGCCTGTGCCTTAACCTGTTCGTTAATATAGCTACATTTTTAAATGAAAGAAATTTTGTATTTCATTGAAAATCGATATTAACGCTACAACTTGTATTACATTCTAATATAATCAGTTAACTTATTTTCAATTCTCCTTCAAGATCCTGTCATACAGGATTTCACTATGAGACAACATTCACGGTTTTTAAATATTGATTTGAAAATGGACTCTTTAATCGACTCGATATAAATATAAGTTCTGAGTCGTCTGCGTCGTCATTATTCTAGGACCTTGTAGGTCCTAGAATAATAGAAACTAGACTTTGTCTCTCACAAAGTCTAGTTTCAAAATAAAATAATATAAGACTCATTTCAAACAATATCCCCGAAAATAAATTACAGAAATTGCCCAACTTAAAAAATAATAATTAAAGAACTGATGACATTATGCGGAATCCGGGTTATTACAGATTTGTATGCTATGTGTGCCGTTGACCTTGTGAAAGAGAGAGTACGGTAAGGTGCGGTCTTTACCATATCGGCAGCGTACACTGACCCACTGCGAATTATGGCCGATGCGGAAATAACAACCGTAATATCCTCCATCAACTACCTATTTATATTAATTTAACCTTTGATCAACCGTTGAACCACTATCTATACAAGTACTTAAAGTCTGTTTCTTATCTACTTATCTATTTGAACAAATATAATAAAGTTGAAGAATTCTGGTTGAACGCGATAAGCTATGGAATATGAAACTAACAGTCGGATTTAACACAAAATCTTGCATTAGATCCCAATTCTTGAAGAAGGTTGTCTAATACTTGTTGACTATTTAACTTTACTTTTTCGAACCTGCTGTTGTGGCTATAGTGTATTTTGCTATTTGTCTCCTGCTAGGCGGATTTTATGACTATCAAAATCCGGTGAGGGGACATCCTTATGCTGCGTTTTCCAATAAAGACCCCCCTCATACCTTCTCACGGATGTTTACGCTTGTTCTTCTTAGCGAAAGTGGTACAAAATTATTGCAAGAAGTAGTCATTTACATAGAAATTGCTATGTAATTTTATAAGTATATACTATTAAAACTTTACATTAAGTCCAAAATGTGCCAAGTAAAACACTCCCAACATTTTATTTAGGTATCTTTTCGATGTTAACCATACTATAAAAATAAACGAATCATCATCATCAACAGCCTTTAACAATCCACTGCTAAGCCTCTCCTTAGAAAGGAGGTGTTGGCAAACGAATGCTACTTACTATGTTAAGTCAGATAGTGCGGGTGAATGCTCGGCTCACATCATCGAGTATTCCCGCGTAAGCCAGTGCACCATTCACAGATAATACCCGAAGACTCTTATTATCATCGGTAGATGATGAAAAAAATTGGGGTCGTCGCAATATGTATGATTTTTCCATTCTATTCTATCATTCATCAATTCACTGTTTACTCCCTTCCTAGCCATATCCTCACTCACACAGTCCATCCACCTTTTCTTTGGTTTTCCTCATCCGTCCGCATGACATGTCCATGAACATTCTTTCTAAAGAAAATAATCGGAATCATAAAAAAATCTTAAATAGGAAAAGATTAATGTTCTTTTCAAGTTTTTAAGAACCAAATACGATAGCATTAACCTTTTTTTTTTACACAGCAAAGATGACAAATACCTACCAATGGATAGAATACAAAGGCTCAGGCCTGACTTTGATGACTTCCGACTATCGATTTTTATAAACGTGAATTCCACCTACCGGTACAATGAAAGAACTACTCGTAGGTGTAATACGAGTACTTTAATTTTGGGTTAATGAGAGAAGCTGCTGATAGATTCGTGGCCTGTCATTGCACACGTGACACATCATGAAACGATCAATTTTAAGATCTGGTCACGTCATTTGTGCAAGAGCACACAATTGAACTTCATAAGGACACTATCTACCAAGTACCAACCTCTTATTGTATTACATTTTTAAGTATTTAATTGCGACTTAGGTAGTAATGAGTTTTCTATTTGTATTCAACATTTCAACGCTGTGCTGTGCATTTACCGTTCTGACGTATTAACCTCATTCATCTCATATATTAGCTACTACACTCGCGAAGCCGGCAATCCGGAAACACAGTTCTGTTGTGAATTATACACTACACTTGCGTTGTCTTTTTTTTATTTAATACTGACTTGGTGTTGCCAGTCCCTGTATATCGTAATTACATCTAGGTACCGTTCTTTCTTGGAAGCTAGAAAAAAAAATATGTTACCGCTTATACTTACAAAAGATATAAGAAAAAAACAAAAGCTACTCAACTACATCGATGGGGTTGTAGTCACAACCATTATTTTCGCTATTTTCGTCTGCAAATTTTTAGTTTGTAACTAAGAAATTTAAGAAGCCATTAGATAAAAAAGTTGAATTGAATATGCTATATTATTGTCTTTATTCAACTTTTTACAACAACTAATTACAACTTTTTCATTGGTGTTTTTTACTAATTTCAGTATTTAAGCAAAGTCCACATACCAGTGGTTCAGCATGGGGACAAGTTCATCGCAGGCGCCGGTGCAGGTGTCACGGCCGTGACGCTCACGTACCCGCTGGACACCATCCGCGCTCGCCTCGCCTTTCAGATAACTGGAGAACATAGATACAAGGGTATTGTTCATGCTGCCATCACTATGTTCCACACGGTAAGATGGAATACCTCAAAAACTTATATACTTATACGATTATAAGAGCCCTCTCCCTTTTTTATACTTAAAAAGATTGGTTTTAAGCACAGACTGTTTCAAGGAAGATAGAAAACATCCTTTATAATTAACTTTAAAAAAAGTATCACTGACTTCAATATGTCAACACATCGTGAATTGTAATAAACTGTATTCTGCATTCCTTAATTTTCATCCTTTAGAGGTCTTCTGGTATTTTTTTTATTTGAATGTCCAAACGGTACACAAATAACGGAGTTTTAGGGTTACAAACACAAAAAAAAAAAACAAATTGAGAACATACTGCTTTTTTTTTAAGTCGTATAAAGAGAAACGAAGTTATAACCTCATTGGAGCGCATTGGATTTCTGTGTTAGAGTTGCTCGAGTGTTTCGTGATAAATGGGACATACGAGTGGACGGACTATGTTTGTATGTATTTACAAAAAATGTATCCATGTATTTAGATGAGTCTATTTCACGGATGGATTGATGGGAAGAATAAACATTGTTTATTTTTATTTTAAAACCTGCAATGCAACAGAATGTAGTGAAGTTTAGTTTGGATCTAGATAAATAAAGTTGAAATGCTTTAAAATTATTTATACACTAGTGACTTACCAGTCTCTAAAATATTGGACAATGATATACAAAGCCATAGTATCATTACACCGTTCACCATGTTCAATATTTCATTTCCAGGAGGGCGGTATACGCGCGCTATACCGCGGCTTCGTGCCGACCATGTGTGGCATGGTGCCATACGCCGGCTTCTCGTTCTACTGCTTTGAGTCGCTCAAGTTCTTCTGTATGAAATATATGCCCACTGCACTTTGCAGAAAGTGCGAAAGGAATACTGGTAATGTCACAGATAATTAACATGTTAATTTAGGAAATGCAAAAGGAAAAGCAAACTTGTGGAGGCGGTTAGTTTTAGCTACCTCGTGATTACTTAATTATAGCAAAAGAAAGAAAGAAAGATTTTCCATAGCTCACTGTTGAGTAACGTGGTTTATGTCTCTCCGACCTGGTAAATAAACATGCTTAGTGGGCCAGGACCCAGCGGTTGATGTTAGTCCATTTGTATATCGTCGTGATCACATCATACAATTGCTCATTTACTGATGTGGACGACCAAATCATGAAGGTGTTCGTTCTATGATCTGACCACGACATACCTACTTAGTAGTAGATCGGCTCGAGAACTTCCATTGCGTGATGCAGAATTAATACTTATTTTGTAGTTCGGTGTGTCTTCGTTGTCCGTGTGGTGACGGATTAAAAATACGGCGTGTCACCACCCCTATTCATCCCGTGGGTGTCGTAAGAGACGACTAAGGGACCAAACTACGCATAAAAACAGCACTGTAAAGAGAAGGAAAACTTGAAACAAACCCTATACCAACCCGTCTGGCCAGCGTGGTATAGTAGGCCTGTAGGCCAAAACCTCCTTCTAAGGAGTGGCCTATAGTCCAGTAGTGGGTTGTTAAAGGCTTTTGATGATGATGTGTCTTCGTTGTAAGTGAAAATCGCCACACCCGTTTTTATGCCTTCCATACCAAACATTAGCACATAGATATAACAAATTCAAAGAAATGTGTTGATTGCTGTAAAGTCCCTTTGGGGCGCTTTTACTTTAATGTCGCACGCATCTAGACGTATATTAATACAAACAGACAGAAGAAATAATTCGAAAACATAATTTTTTAGGGGGCTTAGTACTGACAGTACCTGGTAAATTGATCTGCGGAGGGCTGGCGGGAGCTGTAGCACAATCCGTGTCGTACCCTCTTGACGTCACCAGGCGACGCATGCAGCTCGCCTGTATGGACCCACAAACTGCCAAGTTCGGGTATGTTCTTACGATATTCATTCTCACTGCACTCGTGTATATATATATATATATATATATATATATATGATACTGGTAATAATAGTCTCGACATATATATAATAGACACCAAAACCTTTGATGCCAAAACTTTATTAAAAAGTAAAAATAAATTATTTAAAACGCTACTAACAAACGCATTTTAGCTTAATTCGGAAGTGTAATCAATGTGATCAAAAATGGCGTTCTTCCAGTACCTTGTAAATAAAACTGCAACAAAATATTAGGTCTTCTGGACGAGGTGAACAGGAACGTAAAATTTCGAACAAGTCAATGACACGCCTTTTTTTTTTTTTTTTTTAACGTGTGGAAATCCCCTCGGACCGTCACCCCACCGGGGTTTGCGGCGGGGTGGTGTGTCGGACTCGGACCGACTAAAACCACACGGTGTGCCACTCTGCGCCTGTAAGAGGAGGGATCCGGGAACAGCTGTTATTAAGACATCCGGACCCCTCCTAGCGCCAGCCCGCTCCTGGTGCGGGCTCCGTCTCAATATTTTCCTCTCTTTAGGCGACGTCCGGCACACGCCGGACGCCGCCCCCTCGCGGCTGACCAAACTAATGCAGGTGGAGGGGAAACCCACCCCGTCCACCCGCGGCCACACTCCCGGTTCGCCGGCGGCGGATCGGGTCCGAGTGGAGGTCGTCCTCCCGGGCCTTCTCCGCCGCCTCCTTGTGCGAGATTACTTCCTCGCGGAAGGTTGCGACCGCGGTAAAACAACTGTCGCTACCGGCCATGGAGCGTACTACGGCCGGTAGCGAGAGATCCACTCCGATGACTGCAGTGAGGGCCCGGCGCTGCGTCGCCCATGCGGGGCAGACCGCCAGCGTGTGCTGGGCCGAGTCCTCACTGCAGTCGCAGTGGTGGCAGGGCGGGACTCAGTTCCCTCCTAGCGACCGAGTGCAGGTACTTTCCGAAGCAACCGTGCCCGGAAAGCACCTGCGTCAGCCGGAAGGAAAGGGTCCCGTGCTGCCGCCCTGCCCACTCGGCGATGACCGGGCTGGAGAGCCTCCACGGCGGCGAAGCCAGCGCGTGGAGTCTCCAGCCGGAACGACCAACGAGCCATCGTGGCTCGGCGAGCGGCTTCGCGCCACTCGCGCACATCCTCGGGCGGAGGGCGAAATCCGCTCTCCGCCCGGGAGTCAGCCACTCGCCGATAAACTTCGGCGAGCACTTCCGCCTCCAAATCCCACGGGGGAGTTCCGGCCAACGCGCATGCCACCTCCGTCGAAACGGTGCGGTAACCGCGTATGGCTCTGACCGCCATTACCCTCTGAGGGCGCCAGAGGCGTGCCCCTATTCTGGGCGGTCAGAGCCGCCGCCCACACCGGTGCACCGTACAGTGCCATTGACCGGACAACCCCCGTGTACAGCCGTCTTGTCGCGACGCTGGGTCCACCCAAATTGGGCAAAAGTCGCCCTAGGGCAGACGCAGCGCCGACCAGCTTTGGAGCAAGCTGTTGGAAGTGCTCGTCGAAAAGCCACCTCCCGTCGAGGATCAGGCCCAGATATTTCATCTGGGCCCGAACCGGTACGAGGACCGAGTTGACCACGATTCAGGCGCCAGGGGGTGGACCACGACGGGGCCCATGAAATAACAGGGCCTCCGTCTTATCTAGGGCCACCCGTAAGCCCAGCGCCTCAATGCGCCCGACCACCAGGGAGACTCCCCCTGTGGCCAGGCGCGCCGCCTCTTGGAAGTTTGCCCCCCGGGCTGTCACCAGGGTATCGTCTGCGTAACAGATTACACCTAGCCCGGGGGGGGAAATCGGCGCGAAGGGCCCAGTCGTACCCTATGTTCCACAAGAGGGGTCCAAGAACAGACCCCTGTGGAACACCGCACGACATGGGCCGACACCTCAAATTACCCTCTCGGTCCTCGTACACGACGGTACGCTCCTCTAAATAGTCTGCCACTAGCCGCCTCAGGTACTTTGGCACCCCATGATAGTGGAGTGCTTCCTGATGCAGCTGAATGGCAGACTATTGAATGCGTTGGCGATGTCTAATGACACCGCCAACAGCACGCCGCCACAGCTCACGGCCTCTTCGGTCACGGCCCTCAGGCGCAACACGGCGTCGACTGTCGAACGCCCCGCCCGAAAACCAAATTGGGCGTCCGACAGATCGGGGCCCACCTCGTAGAGGTGCCGGACGATGCGGGCAGAAAGAACCCTCTCAAACAATTTACCCGCCTCGTCCAGCAGCACGATGGGCCTATAGGCCGCGACCGAATCGGCAGGCCGTCCCGGCTTCCTTAATAGGACCAGCTTCCCGCTCTTCCAGCACTCAGGGAAACGTCCCGACGCCAAGCTAGCGTCGAACACCTCCCCGAGGCGGTCTGCCATGTGGTTGAGGGCCAGGGCCAGCACTCGGGCCGGTACCCCGTCTGGCCCAGGGGCGGTGTTCTTGGAACGGATCCGTAGAACAGCCGCCCCTACCTCCGAATCCCGGACGGGCGGAACATCATCCTCCTCGTGCTCCCCGTCGTCTCCGGCCAAGGAGGCCATCGCCGGGGGAGTGTGTTCCGCTCGTTGCGGGAAAAGGCCCTCAACCACTTCTCGCAGGAAGCTGGGCTGGAGAGTCTCCGTAAGGGGGGGGGGCCCGACGCGGGGAGCTTTTGTCGCGCCGCGCGGTAAGGGCGACCCCAGGGGTCACGATTAAGACCCTCCAGCATCTCCTCTCTCTTTTCTTCTTTGGCGCGGCTAATGGCCAGCTTCAGAGTTTTCCGCGCCTGTCGGTACTCCTCATGAAGCCGGTCCTCCTCACCGTCTCCACGGTGACGCCGCCGACTGCGCGTGTAGGACCTCCGGGCACGTGTACAGGCCGCACGGAGGTCCGCCAGCTCCTGGGACCACCAGTAGACCTCTTTCCTTGGAGGCCGACGACCTCGAATGCGGGGCATGGCCGCATCGCAGATATGCGTAATCGCATCGCGAAAGCGACCAGCCCCCACGTCGACCTCCTCGGTCGGAGCCTGAGGAGACAGCCACGAGTGAATTATGGCTGCCTCCTCTAGTAGGTCCCGGTTCAGTCTGGCAACAGCCCACCGCGGAAAGCGGGATAAACGCCGCGCCACGTGACCCCTACTGGAGTCCTGGGTCCGGGAGAGCTCAAATCGGATATACAGATGATCCGAGAGCGTCTCAACCTCTTCCAGGACACGCCAGTTCCTTACTCGTGCGGCGAGGGCAGGGGTAGCGAACGAAAGGTCCACTATCGACCCCCCCTGCTGTCGCACGCACGTGTTGGTGGAGCCTCTGTTGAGAAGACAGAGGCCCACCGAGGCCGGCCACTCCTCTACGGCCTCGCCTACGCCTCCTCTACGGCAAGTCAATGACACGCCTGCCTAACGTACGCTCAAATGAGCACAGGGGTTAGGCAGGTTGTAAGGAATGTTGTAAAACTTTAAAAATAAGCCAAGACGGTAAAGTCATCGAAATGGCAAATTTCACTGAATTTTAAAGTAAAGCTGGACTTACTTTGTCAGATGGGCGAACAAATGAAATTATTTGTATTGCGATGTGAGGTAACTGTAATCAATTCATAATTTGAGTTTTTCTGTCGCAGAAGCATCAATAAACTCTCATGAATTGGCAACATTTTTACAACACGCTATTACCTATTTTGTTACTGTAACAAAAATCCATCAATCGAATACCTTCTATAGCTATGAGCAGCTGATTACGGGAGTTGTGAAATACACGAATTCGAATTGTATGTATAATTAATTGTACATATTGTAAGGCCATGCACTCTGTACCTAATTAATATTGATATCTATGTACTTTCCACAGCACTTTGTACTATTCACAAATCCTTTGTACTATTTAACACCTACAGTAATTAATAAAATGTGAGTATTTCCTTTCCTATACTAATGCAGCAATATTTTTTATTGCATGTTATTTCACATGGTGTTGGCAACACTTGCAGGAGGTTGGTTATATTTTTTTATTAAATAGTAAATAAGGTTACCATGATTTGGTTTATTGTACTTTTGTTGTAAAATACGTTACTATAATAATTTATTTCAGAGATAACATATTAATTTGATTGTAACTTCGGACAAAAAATTAAAAAAAAATGCATGATTTATTATTATAAAGGTTGATCAAATAAGCTACTTTATAACATATCAATTTTAAAAATATACTTCATTATTATTTACTAATTTCCTTTTGGTAGTAGCAGATTCTGTATGGCAGATTCTGTATTTTACATTATGGCAACCTAACTTGTCTATGCTCAAAAGGGGATAGGATATCAGAGCATCTTTTTATGTTGATAGTAGAATATTTGCTTGATTAATTAATCTCTATCATTTTAGTTATAAAATTCTCCCTTAACTTATGTGTTATTTTAGATTAGGCTTCACAGATTAAAATAAAGATACATATTTCTAAAATTACTCCAAATGCTTAAGCAAGCTTTAACGCCCTGTCCTGTGAAGCTTAGGGATTTCTATACTTTTACCTTACAAAGGATGGGAAGGCTTAAGAATTACTTAAATCCTCCGTAATGGAATCATGGAAAATGATAAACGATTTATGTGTATTTATACTACTGTAAATAATATACCTACCTACATGTACCCATTTCCTATGTAAATATATCTATTTAACTGACATTAGAAAACAACGTAATAATATTAATGGAATTATATTACTTAAAAAATTCAAATATTTATTTTTGATATGTCAGTGATATATAAGATATAAAAATATTCTAACTAGATAATATTTGACCTTCCCTGTTCCTGTATTTCTTGTCACAAACTTAAATACACTGAACTATAGTTAAACCGCCGTAAGCTTGGCCCTCCTAATGGTTTGGGGGACGCGGGGCGGGGGTGCATTCAACCAATTAGCTAGTGCGTCGCTGTCCGCCGGCAGTCACTGACGTGAAAGCATGGCTGTACGTGTTATTTTTCTTAAGACTGCTACACACGGTATTATTTTGCAACATGGATAATCTGCCGACTCTGCGTCACAAAAAGATTTAAAAACTTGAAGTTCGGCTTACAGAGGTTCTACTGTTAATGTTCTAATAAAAAATATTTATTATTTTACTTAATTTTTAAATTGTATCTGAATATAATTTACATGATGAAGATAAGGTGATTTTATTAAAATTATTTTACAGTATTAAATTTTACAATTAATCATAAAAACTTACAATACACTGACATTATAATACATGTAAATAAATTCGATTTTTATTACATCGTGTGTAGATTAAATCTCAAACAAATAAATCTGAAGATATCGAGTTAGTACATCGTGTCATGTATAGCCGAGCGCATCACTCACCCCGCAAACCATCAGGAGGGCCAAGCTTACGGCGGTTTAACTATAATGTTTTCATGGACATGTAGCATCATTACTCATAGAGTTTATTTGCTAATGACAACTAAACTCAAGCAACCTAGCCGTTACACTTATGATAGTAATAAAGATCTTTCCTCTCGCTTTTCTGTAATCTGTGGAAGTGATTTTGAGTGACGGAAGTCGTCCCTTTTCACAAGGAAGCAGAGAGCCTAGTGCAAGTTAAGTTCACTTTTACAGGGTCGACACGGTGACCAATCACAATGCCGTTCGCGGTTACCTTAGAAGTGAAATAATAATTATATTTTCGGATATTGACACACAACGCCATCTAGTTTCAAACTAAGAAGAGCTTGAAAGCTAGATTGACTGATAGAATACTTTCTTTTGTAAATACATACATATTATACATAGAAAACACCCAAACTACGAAACAAATATTTGCAGATCATATAAACATTTGGTCCGACCCGGGAATCGCACCCGAGGCCTCAGCACAGCAGTCGCGTACGTTACCACTGCACCAATGAGGGAGTGAAAACAAATAAACTTACACTAAGCCCTCTGGTTATACGATATTTAATTAATCCAACGACCGTTCGCCGAATGGCACGTAAGATGTCATATGTCCCACATCATAAGCGACTACTAGGGCCTAGTGTAAGTTTATTTAAGTGACCGCGTTTGGCGCTGTAACTGGTGGAGTTCAGCGTGGGCCAATCACGACGATCGAATAGATTTGAAATAAACTCGCACTAGGGCCTCTGTAAGGCTCAATGGGTTTTTTATAGTCACAATTGCAAAATTATTGCTTAATGGAAGAAACAAATTAGATAAAAGTGACGCAGACGTCGTATTTAAACTAAAATTTTAATATTCCTTGTCTTGTCAAAAGCAAATAGGATTCATCACTGTTTATGGTTTCATTTACATTACAAAGAATTTTGTGAGGGTTTGGAATGTAAATTAGACGGAAATATCGAAATAATCGTTAAGTATTTTTTATTTCCACAGTACCGGTATGGTGAAAACATTGACTCTCATATATCGCGATAACGGTATAGTGAAGGGTCTCTATCGAGGAATGAGCATCAACTACATCAGAGCGATACCAATGGTCGCCACTTCCTTCTCCACTTACGAGCTCATGAAACAGCTCCTCCAGCTCGACACCGGTATGAAAGTTTCATAGGAAAATTACTTCTGTTCTAATATTAATTGTATTATAACTAGGGAAGTGGAAATCTTAGACAATAAAACGAAGGTTTGACAGTAATATTATTTGAGTCAATGCAATATGGAGATGGTAATAAAAAAAAAAAACAATGTAAGATTCTGTAAGCATTGTTTTTTCTTAATTAATACAATTCTTAATTTTTTTCTCTTAATATTGTATAAATGTTATATTAAGTACTGAACACTTTCAAATGTAGATAGTTATTAAGGATCAGTATTTATATATATTTTGTAGTTTTAGACAATGTTTGCTTTGTTATACAAATAACGTTTGTTTAAGATACTTAGCTCACGCTGTATTTGCCATCGCGCTCTCAACAGTTCTTATAAATAGAAGGTAACTTGTTACTTGATATTTTGGCAATTTTTATTTTACAACGGCTTTCAGGATTCACTAATAATGGTGTTTCTTCTGAAGACTTCACTGCTTAATTTAATGCTGAAATTTAATATAATTTCAGACAAAGTAATTCTAACACATATATACATAAAATATGTGTATCTCACAATACTCAGTACATATACCTACTAGCAATTATTTTTGTTTTATAGATAATTAAAAATGACAGAAAGTAAATTTTAATTAGTATATTCGCTATACACGGTACGTAGGTAGATAAAAAGAATACATACAACAAAAACAATATATTAGGTCTTTAAAGAATACCTTCAATAAAGACCTATTATAATGTAAGTACAGAATTAAGTAGAAGTAAGGTAAAGTTATCGGTGCCTTAAGTTTTTAATACTTGTTACGGTGCCGGCGATGTTGATATTTCACAAAACGTCGCTGTAGAATGAATAAAATGTAAAAATCCAATAATGGCTACTAATGCCATCTATGGCTTTGCTGTGCTATGAGATACGTGGTTTTCATTAGATTTTTACAAAATAAAAATATATTAATTTTTTCACATACGAGGTATTCATTCTACAGCGACGAAAAGTGCTTTCTAAAAGACTATCTATGGTTGTTTTAGATTATTTGCAGACTAATATTATAATACCATGTGTATCACAGCCCTCCTTTCTAAGGGGAGGCCTATGTTCAGCAATAGAATACTAAAGACTGTTGATGGTAATTATCATGATGATGTATCACAGTGCTTCTTTATCAAATTAGTACAACCCAAATAGGTCGTAACTCCAACTTAGTAACTAGAATATAATTATATTATGTTCACGGTGCTCTTTAAAATGTCAGTGGTGCTAACGAAGCAGTTTCCCTAAATTCCAAAAATTTAGTAAAATTTGTTTAGCTTCTTTCTACTTTTGATTTTCTACTTAACTTACTACTGACACTTTTTACCTCATTACTTAGTCACTTTATTTTGCAGTTGCTGCACTGTTTTGAAAGGAAATGAAACTTACATTTCAAAGATGCATTCCTTAGAAATTTGTTATCATACTTCAGTAATACCTAGCTGTCACCAAACATCTTCCATTAATGTTATTATTTATATTTAATAATATTAACAAACATGAGTATGAAAGAATTCGTAATTTTAAATTCTCATACATGACTCCAACTCATGACTACCTACTGTGAATTAATTTATTATAAACATATAAGATATTGTTTAACTACCATTAAGAATATTTATTGTTAGGATTTAGTAGCCAGTTTGTTTATCTTTACAGCCTATGACTAAATACTTAAGTCATTAGAGAAAATGAAATATATAGAAATTCAAATATATGTATACATTCTGGTGCATGTTCGCATTCCTGGCATATAGTTGTGTATTAAGCCTTGATAATATTATTTAATAAAATTTCTACTTATAGAATTTTTCGAAAGAGGCATTAGTGACCAAAATGTTTTTATAAAAATGAGTCGTTTTATTGAGGTTAAGATAAAGTACAGACAAGACATAGTAATTAAATGATCCACAAAAGCCACTAAATTTATGCTACCCTACCTTAAGGCACACAAGATACAATAAAAATTTTCATTGAACAAGCTTAAATTAAGTAAAATGCAAAAACAATTTTGTAATTACTATAGCATATTAGGTACACAACACAAAATGAATTAATCTGGAAATGTTAGTTGTTGTCAGTTTTAAGAAGAAGTGCATTTTGTTTAGCTTTTAGTGTATTAAAATTATAGAGATGAGTGTATTTAGGCACATAAATGTGACTAAAGATATAAATTTTTGTATATGCAGTAAAAATTGTATTAGATAGCCAAGATTGTAAATGAGAAAATAAGCGGTTTCTAAACTAATTAAGCTGCACACTGACTGAAGAAAAGTAAATTATCATTTATTGTTTGTAATAATTCTTTCTTTTTACCTACTCTATTTTTACCTGCAACAAAATTTTATAAATCCCAAGAAGGTAGTTGTATATCCTTGAAATATGTATGTATATGTGGAGGTAAAGAGCTCTACCTTGTATGGATGGCAACCCAAAAATGTGTCCAGCAAAAAGCAATAAATATCATTTTTTTAAAACTGACGAGGATGGCGGTAGTGTAGCCAAAGGTACATGATAATAGCTATTACAGACGGAGTGAAGTTTGCTGAATTAAAGTAATTTAATGTTTAATAATAGTTAATACACGATTATTGTCTGTACAACGCGTCTTATAACTGCTTTCGCAGTCTAATTCGCAGCGTTTATTTTTTAAGCCAATAAAAATATTACACAATGTTTTTCTTTCCATATTTATTTCTCTATCCTGCTTTAATAACTTTGATGCTTTCTTTAAGGGTAAATTAAAGTAAATGTAGGGTACATTGCATACAGTGCCACATGTGGCACAACCAATATTATGACTTACAGCTATCGATACATAACGCCTAGTGATACGTTGTGGCTTCTGGACTAATCTTTACATACCTAGCAACTATGTAGTAATAGTAAAATATAATTTGTTGGTGCTAGCTATCAATTGATTGAGTGATTCGTGTGGAATTTCGGAAATTGATGACAGCTCATTGTTTTCGTAAAAAAAAAACATTTTAGTGTGGAGAAAAATATATGTAAGTATATTGATAATAATTTAATTAGGGTTAAAATATGAAATTGCCGTTGTATAGTAATAGATACTTTGAATTGACATAAAACCTTCACGCTGTGAGATTTTCGTTTGAAACTTTACATGGTGCCTATGAGGTTCCTTTTTCGGCTCGATCCCTTGGCGTTACGTAGAGATGTGGCTTCACTCTGCATTCTCTATCGCATTTATCATGGAGAGTGCTCCGAGGAATTGTTCGGACTAATACCAACCGCAAATTTCCGCCATCGTTCCACACGGCAAAATTTTCATCCTCATTACCTGGATAGTTGGCGCTCCACTGCTGTGCGATTTTCGAGATACTTTTTGCCCCGCACAACCAATCTGTGGAATAGGTTATCGTCTGCGGTATTTCCGGACTGATACGACCTTCAAACCTTCAAGAAAAGAGCGTACACCTTCCTAAAAGGCCGGCAACGCAGCCTAGGAAATCTCAGACTTCCCAAGCTATTTGGAACACAACTTACTCTTACCAAAGAGGTCAAATACCTAGGAGTAATACTGGACAGTAAACTCCTGTGGAATAAGCACCTCGATGAAAAACTGAATAAAGCCTGCATTATTTTCTGCCAATGCAAGCGGCTACTCGGCAAAAACTGGGGACTATCACCCAAAATTACTTTATGGCTATACAGGACAGTCATAAGACCAATAATCACTTACGGTGCTGTTGTCTGGTGGCTGAGAACAGAGCTAAGCACCGTCATAAACAAACTGCAGCAATTCCAGCGACTCACTACCAACTAGCCCTGAACCGACAACTATTCATAATCAATGCGACGGATAGTCCCCTGTGCAGGGGATGTCTGGAAGCTGAAGAAACGGCCGTCCACGTAGTCCTGGAATGCGAGGGAGTGGCCACACAACGGGCAAGTATCATTCCTGATATAAAGTCGCTCCTAGAAGCCTGTGAACGCCCCAGGAGGCTTCTGCGCTTCTGGAAGGAGCTTGGCTGGCTCACCTAGTCAACCAATCCTCGACGCATAAAGGACCACTCTGAGTCTAAATGCGGAAACCGAAGCCCACAACCAATACCAATACCAAAAAAGGCCGGCAACGCGTTTGTGACTTCTGAGTTGCAGACGTTCATGGGCGGCGATAGTCACTTTCCATCAGGTGACCCGTCTGCTCGTCTGCCCCTCTAACATAAATGTTACACAGGTGTTACAGGTTGTTGTTGACGACTATGTTTTCTTAATTATAACTACATTTTCTAGCTTTTACCGAGGTAGAGAAATGTATGACGGAGTACCTATAAACCGTGTAAAAAAATATTATATGTGTGATATACTGATATTGATATACTTAGCGGGTTTAGTTCTAGTTGATCCGTCCGATCAAGTGTAGGTAAGTATTACCTACCTAAGTTATGAAAACTCTATTGATAAGTTAAAAACTCTGTGTTGGTAAATAAACATTTTTTTTTCATTGTTTTCAAACGATATAAATAATCAATTTAATTCGGTTTAAAATCAAAATCAAACAACGTTGTATCTTTCATGCGCAAGTAAAACGGACGGCATATTGTGTAAATGATGTCTTCTAATGTAGTGTGTGCTATATTATAATATAATAAATAAGTATAGGTAAGTATACCTACATACTTAAGTTTTTGTGTAGTGGGTAATGTAGGTAGTTACTTCCTTTTGATTTTCTATAAACTAATTAAAATCAAAACATGACGTCAGGTGACCTTTATTCGCTAACTATTCGAAATTTGTGCCAAATATGGAAAAAAATATTTCAATAAGTTTTATTATTCTAACGTAAATAAGAGCTTAACATTATAATTTATAGTTTTGGTTTGTGTATTTTGTTGTTGCCATTATTTTTTTATGTATTAAATGAATGACTCTAACGTAGTAATTAAAAAATTAAAAATATGTATTTAAGAATTTATTTCTCTGACATTTTTAAGGATTTAAAAACTA